TAAGCCATCTTAAGATTTGCTTTAAAATTCCCTGAAAAAAACCCACAAAATTGGAGGAGAAAGTTGAACTAAGAACAGAATAAATTTTTTAAATTGTTCAAAAGTTGAATTAAGAACAGCATAAATTTTTTAAATTGTTCAAGGCTTAGTTAAATGTTTCTCTTTTTTTCTGTGTGTATGTGAAAATTTCCATAGTACTAAGATTTTTATGTAAAAATTTTAAGAGCCCTGCTACATATTCTGGGCGAGGTCGAAGTGGGAGGGGCAGTACGCTGGATCCTCCCGTGACATCGAAAAGTCAAATTCTAGGGTGTTCGTGGGCAGTCGAAACACCACTGCTATAATCATTATCATCACAATAATAGCACAGAGAATCTGCGTGATTTTATGGATTCCTCCTTGCCCAACAGGCAGAAGGAAGACAGACCCTAAAACAGCAACGAATGTCTCTCTGGGTGGTGATAAGTGGTAAGATTACCAATGAATTTGTTTTAGTAACTATATTCTGTATGATCTTATATAGACAAAAAATGTTTTTTAGTATTCACAAAATATTACATGCTCCACTACTGAACAACCCAAAAGTTTACTCCAAGTCTTCACGTAAGCCCCAGAGTACAACGGGATTACCAACGAGAATTGACAAATCCCCAGAGGTCGTTAGAAAAGAGACAAGGCAGTGAGAGCTGGAACGGCCAAGTCTGACCTACAGGAGACTGGCCCTCAACAAATAGGGAACATCTGACAGCAGGGGCCACGTCACATGCACGGTCTCTCTTGTCCTGACCCTGGAATGGAACCCTTTAAGCCTGGAAGTCCGTCTTCTCGAAGAGGAAACCAGGATGAAGAGGTCGAAGCAATGGATTTTTGTCCCTTCAACAAGAGGCCATCAGAAAGAGAGGTAGCTGTCACCTTCCTCTACTTCATGAAGTCCTGCAGGGACATAAACACTACCTCCATTTTTAAGGATGAGGAAAACTGAGGTTCGGGGAAGTAAAGTAACTTGCCTAGTGTCACGGAGCTGTTAAGCAGCAGGCACAAGACTAGAACTGAACTCCGTATGCTCCAGAGGCAGGATTCTTTCTACCAAGCTGTCTCCCTTCTCTAAAAACTAACTCCTACTGCTGGCGGCTACGACAAGTTCCGACCGTGGCGTCCTCAAACCACTGTTGCTCACTGTACTCACTGCTGCAAGCCGGAAAAGAAACGAGACAGGCGGCTGTCAAGAAGCTGTATGACTGCCCGGCACTGTCCCCACCAGGGCGAAGAAGGAGACAGTAAAACTCAATTCACATGATGCTCACTGTCATTTCAAGTCATGGGTCTCGCCCCCCAAAAAAGACTTATTAGTTGTCCCCAGCTGAGAGCTTGCAGATGGCACTCCCAAGAGCTGACAGTCCACTGCATGGAACCAATACATTCGGGGACACTGGCATTAAGCTTTTAACACTAAAAATAAAGGGGAATTTGTTTCAACCTAAAGTGGCAGTTGCCAAGTAAATGTCACTACAGCATGGTGACAAAAACACTGGCTTCGCAGTTACCCAGACCTCGGTTTATTATTCAGTTCTGCCACTTAAATAAATGTGTAACCTTAGACAAGTCAATTAATTCAACTTCATTAAAAAAAAAAAAGGCAGGAAAGATTAACTTCTCCATAAAGGATTAAATGAGATAAACTTGTGGCTAGAACCGACACACGCGTAGAAAATAAATGATAAATTCTACTAATACTGGCATTAACTCTTGTGCCAGAAGAGTTTTTGGTGTTTTAGCAAATACTCGACATGGTCTGAATGCCTGATTATCTAATAGAACAGTCAACTGGTGGACTCTAGATATCTGAACCAAATGGAATTCTGAATGAGTTCAGCCTGGTTCACACACCCAGATATTCAGATATTCCAGTAAACTGGTTCACATTTTTTTTAAAAGCACATATGGGTTTGGCTAACTTCCGAATATTCTCTTTGGTAACAAGCCTGCATTGTTCACCTTTTATATGCCCAGCACCAGTACAAGCGCCGGCACATGTCAACTGCTCAGTAAATAGTCATGGAGTTAAATCTGCAGAAAAGCCATTCGGGAATCTCACTAGCTTTAAGATTCAGAGGGCTCACTTTGGCAACAGGACTACAATCCATCCCCCTCTCAAGCTCCCCGTAGATATTTGGCAAGTATTTCTTTTCTTATTTTCAAATAAATAATGACTAAACAAGATATATGCCAGATATTAATAGTAAAGTTTTCACAAACAAAACTAAGATGGAAAACTCTAGAAATAGTAGCACACTAGTATAAAGGAAAGAAAACCAATTTCGGAATCAGGCAAATGTGGGGTTCAAACGCCAGCTCCGCCACTTCAGAGCTCTAAATGTTAACTATGGGCCCAATCACACTTATCATCTCTGAGACTCCGTTTCCATATCTAAAAACTGGGGACAATAACACATACATCACACAGTTATCACAAAGCTAATATATGTGAAGTGCCAGTAGAGCTGGTGATGAGTGATTATTTTTTTAAGTTTTAATGAGGTAAATCAGTGATTTTTCTTTTTTAAGCCTTTTCTCTTCTCAGAGATGGTCAGAAACTAGAGGGGCCGCATTGCATTACACCTGAAGGTATCTATACTTTTACTGCTGCTTCTCATAAAGTATATTAATTCAGTCATATAGATAGGCTAACTGGCTAAAGTTGCAACTGTCAGTGGGTCGGGTGTGATAATTTTAAGGGGGACCCTTTCATGCAACTCAGGAACCTAAGCGAAGTCATCAACCAGGCTCTTCAGGTAGCCTGTTGCTTTTCTTCTGGGGCCTGCTGAGAAGTGTACAATGCCAAGCACGAGCCATCTTTGTGACAGCCAAAGACGTCATACATACTCAACAGGCACTCTCTGAGAGCAAAAACCCAAATTAAGTCACCAAATTTTAGCACAGGTTGGAGACTAGAAGTAGTAAGGAAGAACAACGGGATTAAAATAATACATAACCCAATAAGAAGAAAGGAAGGAAGCCTTCCGGGTTCATCAATATCATCAATCCATGTTTACTTTCCATTCACAAACAGAACAAAACAGTAATGATATACTCATTCCGATCAGCGGAGTATGTATTTCACTTTACTGTGCTGTATACTCTCAATTATACGATAAAGAAAATAAAAACCTAAATAAACAAAATCCTCTATACACCTCAACAGACAACATTTGCTCCATTCACATTTTAGTGAATTCCACTGAATATTTCACTTTATTTCAAGGTCCAATCAAGGCAATTTCCATTTTTCTCCCTGAAAAGATTTTCACTTGGAGACATGAGTCAGGAACTTTTTAACACATCTGAGTTTCCATTTTCAACAAGGTAGGAACCCGTATTTCTGCCCACTCACCCCATCTCGAGAATTCACAATACTGTTACTAAAATATATTGAATAATGCCTTCCATCGGGCAAGTACTTTTAGCTGAATGCAATAAAAAGAATCTGCACTTCCAGACCTCATTAACAACTACAATTTTCCCCCTACTTAAATTTCTGGGGAAAACTGGCCAGCTCACTAAAAAGCAACCGTAACATTCAAGCAAGTATCTATTATCTAGCACCGAGGAGAGCTCATGCAATAATGCCCACCACTGCAAGAACATTTTTGTTCAAGTTACATCCCTTGCAGAGAAGCCGCTTTTTCAAAGATAAATATACATTACACAAGAGTCTCACTGAAACACAATCCCTGGACCCGAAGTTATAAACCACCTTTTGATACAGACTCTAAGACAACTGAATCTTATATTCAATTCACCTTCTAGTTAACTGTGTTTGCGATGTTTCAGTACAGTTTTCTAAAGAAAGTAATTTGAATCAATAACCACACCGATGCTACTCAGAATGTTTGCCAAGGAGTAAAAAAATGCACAAGCCCAGTATGAAGGAAATTTTCCTCCTTCTGGGCTCCCCAGCTCCATTTAAAGACTGTAACGTGAATAGAAAGATAACCTTGAGAACAGTAAAGTCACCCATGCCATCAATAATATCGCTCTAACTCATTTCCTGGTTTTTACAGTGTTCCTCTAAAACAGGGCAGTCTCAACAGGATGCCAGGAATTTAATAATGTTTTTTAAAGATATATCAAACTGTCTGGAATATACAGTGATGAAAACGGAATATTGCCACTGAAACCATACTTAATAAAATACATGCTTTTTCTAAACAGAGCTTCCCCAATAAAGCCACAATGTTTTCTGCCTTGGCACTCTTAGACTCTGTCCCAGCAAGTGAGATCAGGCCAGCTGCACTTCTGCTAACAGATTTTTTTCCCTGAGCAATCCCTCACCACCCCATCGCACTCCCCCCACAACCCCGCACCCCCCCCCAAAAAGTTTTACTTTTATCTGTGGAATTCTCTGCCGGCCTCGGCCTGGAAAACTGGGTGGACCCAGAGGACAGGTATCTGATCTGGCCTTTGGGAGGTGGCCCAAACTGACAGTTATTGGCAGCGTAAAGCTGTGATCTTTGTAAACTTCAATTTGAGGCTTTATTCCATTAGTGATTCTCTCCCCACTCCTTTCTTGAAGGAGGGAGAGAAAGCGAGCCAAAAAGATGAGTTTCAAAATAGAAAAACCACCAGTTTAATTATAAAACCCTCCCCATGTCTGGTAACAAAGGACTGTTAAAAGTAGCCAAATGGAAAACATCGGGGTTTTTTGGGCACATGCACAACTGTTAAACATGAGAATCACAACTTCGAGGTGGGAGGGAAAGAATAAAAAGCAGGAGCAGGAAAAGAGGAGCAGAACAGGGCCCAGCCGAAGACCCATTTGCTCAGAAGGGCCCCTCTTGGCACTAACTCCTCCGTGTGGGGCACCCAGGCTGGAGGAAAGCAGAGGGTTACACAGAACATTTAGCAGACTTAACATTGGATTAAACACACTACTGCAAGTTTCAACAAAAGTTCATGGCATACGTAAAAAACACATTTACAACAAGAAAGAAGAGAGGCACCTGGAGACATCTGACACTGGGCATGCTCTGCAGGCAACTCAGTGCGCACATGCTCTCTACCAGGTTGGCGCAGCCTAGCCACAAAGACCTTGGCACAGAACACTGCAGGATGACAAAAAGGAAGGAAGAGAAGAAGCAGTTAGAGACCGCGACAAATCACTCCTTCACACAGGCAACTTGAATGTTAGTGGGCGGGGAGGGGGGTGCATGCACCCTTGGCAGCTGGGAGGTCAGGGGTGCTGGTCATAGACAACTTACTGAATTGAAACCTTGGGAGAGGGCCCACTCTCTGTCCTATTACAAGGTTTCTGCTGCCAATCACTAATTCCTCTGGATACAGTGAACAGAATCGAGAGGGAGAGAGAGAATGATTAAATGAATTAAATTAAAGGGAACTGTGGAAGGCTGAGTGCAAAGCAATCAGTGGTGAGATTGTGACTGCGACTTCAAAATAGTAACACCTTCTGGTCTATGTCATATAATTGTAATTGCCATCAGGACATCACCTACTACGTGCCAGGCACTTTCAATGTGTTCTCTGACTCCCACAACACAGCGTCAGGAACCCGAGGCTCAGAGGTTAAATCATTTGCAAGGGCACACGGCAGAGGGGACGGCGAGAATTTCACACCTTGGTTTGTCTGCTATTAGGACCCCCACTCGTTCAAGATTATGATGCCTCTATCGTAAAAACTTTGATCACCTGAATTTTTATCATGTGGGTACAGTTTT